TAAGTCGCGGTAATAAATTTCAAATCAATAATTATTATAAAAAAATTGGCCATTTAAGTCTTGAATATTTTTTTCTCGCGAATGTTTAACGTATTTTATATATTTTTTAAAATATTGAGATTTTTATTTATATTAGGGTCTATAGTAATTAAAATGTGGAGTTAAACATAAATCAAAATATTTTTTTAATAATTATTATATTTTATAAATTTTAGTTTTTGAAATATTATTGAAACTATTTTATTATATATGCATCAATATAATAGCTAGAAGGACAATTTGGGAAGAAAAAAATGCCACATCATTCAAAGTCAAAGTTTTATCATTAAATTCATTAATGAGGGGGGTAAGTGTTACATTTGTAACTTTAAGGGGGTAAGTGTTACCACCCCTATAGTTTAAGGGTGCAAAGTTTATTTAGCCCTAAAGTAAATAATGAATTAAGTGACGTGTCTTGTCTGCAAAAATAAAATAAATTAATGTGAAATACAGTTTTCACTCTTCAAGTTTGCACTGATTTCACATTTGGTCCCCAATATTAACTAAAAACACATTCGGTCCCTCATGTTTGAAAAATTCAACATTTTTAGTCTTTTCCATCAAGTTTCCGTCAAACATCAGGGATCAAATGTAAAATGATGCAAACTTGAGAGATGAAAATTGTAATTTTCCCATAAATTAATTCAGAACTGAAATAAATAGGCTCAAGGTGTTTTAATATGTAATGGATCGCATCAGCCCCATTAATGAACCAGTTGGTGGTGTTCGGGCCAACCCGAACCATTCTATAACCCAACATTATTCGAATATTGGGAAAATACAGTTTATGTCCTTTAAGTTTGTATCAATTTCACATTTGGTCAGTCATGTTCACAAAAAACACATTGATCCCTCATATTTTGGAAATTCAACATTTTTTGTCATTTTCGTCAATATTTCGTTAGTAGTAACGGAATAAAACGTGTTCCCGTCACTGTATTAAACTGACGGATTAACGGTAGATTGACGAAAATGACCGAAACTATTACTTTATTGAAACATGACGGACCAAATGTGTTTTTTCGTGAACATGAGGGACCAAATATAGAACAAGTGAAAACTAGAGGGGTGAAAACTATAATTTTGGCTTCGAATGTTTCTAGAACTAGAAACACTAATACTACATACACTGAACAAGAAAATTCTTACGCGAAGTAATTGCAAAAAAAGAAAAAAAAAATGGATTCCGAAAAAATTGAAGAGCTGAAGGGTTTCGTGCAGCACTGCAAACAAAACCCTTCTGTTTTACACACCCCACCATTTTCATTTTTCAAGCTTTTTCTCCAAAGGTTCGTTCTTTTTTTGATTGCTTTTTGGCTCGTTAATTACGATGTCGAAACATTTATTTATTAATTTTTTTTTTTAATTTTTGTTTTGTTTAATGTTTGCAGCATGGGTGCTAAAATTCCGCCGTCTGAAAATTCGGTAAGCTATGTCGGAGTTAATTAAACCCCACCTGCGGTGGGTTTGTCTCTCTGTGAAAATTCTTTACACTCCATCACTTGTTATTTTCACTGTATGCTTCTGCAATTTTGTTTGATTCGGTTCAAAAATGGAAAATTGTTGGTGGGTTCTTGTGGGTTTTCGATGGGGGTTGAGTTGTACGCTCATACGGTTATTTCGTCGACGAAGTTTTTCCGGATTGTGTTGATGATGTTACTGACACTGAGAAATAGTTCAAACTGATCTTCGAATTAGAAATTTTGGGGGTTCGGTTCGATGAGGGTTTGTTCTTCCCCGTTGGTTCTTCGATTGGTCAAGATTATGATCGTTATAAGAGTTCAAAACGAGGGTTTTTTTTTAATCGAATTCATTGCGAAACAATGTTGTACTTTCTACGGTTTACGGGTTTGAGCATTATAATAGGGGAGTTTGATAGAATAATTAACAAACGTAAAATGCAGCTCATGCAATGCTAGTCTATGATCGAAAATCAGTTGTGCGTTTGCGTTAAATTGATGAAGAAATCTTTGAGGCTCTTTATACTTTTGTGCTTTTTCTTTCGGTAGTGTATGTGAAAGAGAGTCACAATCCGTAATCTAGGTTGTATTTTAGCCACCTGACAAGGAGTTATTCGATTTTCACCGATGAACAATAAACTGATGCAGGGTAGAGATAACGAGAAAAATCAAGATACGAAGCAGTTCCAATCTGAAACTTTAGACGAGGAGATTGTTGAATCTGACGTTGAGTTGGATAATTCCGACATTGTGGAGCCCGATAACGATCCTCCACAAAAGGTTGAAAAAAAAACCCGGAAAAAAAGATGAAAAATGTAATTATTTATATGCTTCGTATATGTGTGTTTTAACTTTTTTTTTTAATTGAAGATGGGAGACGCTTCCATTGAAGTAACTGAAGAAAATCAAGAAGCGGCTCAATTATCGAAAGCAAAAGCCAACGAGGCAATATCCGATGGTACGTATATATATACTGAATTTCTTGTAGCTAATGTTAATTTTGCTGGTATTCGGAAATATTATATATTTCCGAATTATGAATTTCAGGTAATTTTATTGAAGCTATAGATCATCTCACGGAAGCAATCACGTTGAATCCGAAGTCGGCAATTCTATATGCTAGTAGAGGTAATTATGAACGTACACATCAATTTATTAAGATTTTATTATCGTTTACAGTGTTTATTATGTCGGCATTCTTGTGTTAATCGGAAACGTTTCGTTTTTGCAGCGAGTGTCTTCATCAAACTGAAGAAACCAAATGCTGCTATACGAGACGCTGACGCAGCTTTACAGGTATTTATGTGGGTTTTTCGGTTTTCCCCACTTAACACACAGGCTTTTGAGTTTTTCGAGGAAGTGTTTGATTCTTGATTTTGATGATATTTCATTTTAATTTAGATCAACGCTGACTCAGCAAAAGGGTATAAAGCACGAGGGATGGCAAGGGCAATGTTGGGATTATGGGAAGAGGCGTCTCGTGATTTACATGTTGCGTCGAATTTGGATTTCGACGAGGAGATTGGCTCTACGCTAAAAAAGGTTTTTTTTTTTTTTTCGGCATATAATCCAATATTTTGTTACAAAGGTTCGATATGCATTAGAACATCCTGCTTTAAAAAAAAATCAGGTCGAACCCAATGCCAAGAAAATTGAAGAGCATCGCAGAAAATACGAACGCATGCGCAAAGAAAAGGCGTTGAGAAAAATTGAGCTCGAAAAGAAAAGGCGTCAAGTAAGCACCTTTAATCGTAATTCTAGTTTTGATTGTCGCATTTTATATAAGTAATTACTTTATTTTTATTTCGATGCAGGATGCTGAAACTGCTTCTGTTTTAAAAGATGGTACGCATATTCATTTTTATTTAATTTATTACATATTAAATTAAACACATTAAAGAAACACATATGACATATTGTCCAGTGCGAGAAGCTGTTCTTGTTTAAGGTTCTTATTTTTCACGTCCTCGATTTTATTTTTCCTTTCTTTATTTACAGGAGAAGTAATCGGGATTCATTCCGCTAGCGAGTTGAAAATAAAGTTGAATGCCGCTTCAAAGATATCGCGGCTCGCGATACTCTATTTCACCGCAACGTGGTGTGGGCCCTGTCGTGTAATTTCTCCAGTATTCACAACTTTGGCGGGAAAATATCCGAAAGCCGTGTTCTTGAAAGTCGATATCGACGAGGTGAAAGACGCAGCTGCTGAATGGAACATTAGCAGCGTACCGTGTTTCTTCTTTGTGAAAAACGGTAAAGAGGTCGATAAAGTTGTCGGGGCCGACAAAACTTCGCTCGAAAAGAAGATTGCCCAATACGCCGGATAGTTTCTTGATATTGCAGTTCAATTTCACTTCTTACTAGAGATTTTTCATTTGAAACTAATCTTACTTTATGAGATATAAAATGTATTTTCATTTTATTTTCTGAGTATGCTTCAATTATATTTAGGGTAAATTATCCGCCGCCCCCTGAGATAATGTAAAATTACGAAAACCCCCCTCATGTTTGGGTAATTACGTCCACCCCTCGACTATGAATCTTCTTATACGTACACATTTATGGTGTCAAATTCAACTGAATTTTCTAGATTTCGGGGAATGTTCTCTAGTTTGTACTCATTTTATGCAAAAATGCAGTTTCTGTTGTAGCACAGATATTTACAAGTCAAGAGACACTGCTCGAATGGGGTAAAACGAGTACAAACTGGGAATATTCCACTAAATTTGAGACCCCACTGGTGGACGTGTATGAATATTCATAGTTGATGGGTGGTTGTAATTAGCCAAACATCTAGGGTTTTTTCGTAATTTAGCCTTACTTTAGGGTGGCCGTAATTTACTGTATATATAATATATATAATTTTTTATGATTATATATTAGTTAGACAACACGATTCCTCACAGATATAAGGTTAAGTCTCTGCATACGGCGTCGTATCAATTGCGCGGAACTTTAAAAGTTTGTTTGTCAGTTAGAATTTTGCTTCCCTCGCTTTCTCTCTCTACTTCTCCTTCTCTCTCTTCTTTGATTTAGCCCTAAATTTTTGAAGCAATTGTGGAACAATACACATGAAACTATTAATTCCGAATTCGTTTTTCACTGTGAAATCAATTTAGGTAACTGTATCCGCTCCTTAGATCGATTTTTACGCTTAATACTCCACTATTACGCAATCTGCAGAACTGGTACGTCGTAAATCCTCAGTTGATTTTTTTTATTTATCGTCTACGATTTTACTATTTATCGTGTTCTGAATTAGGAAATAATGAAATAAATGGTATCTCGAATGCCGTAGAACTTCTTTCTCTCGTGTAGTTTTTAATACATTTTGATTCGGTCGAAGGATAATTAAATGTCGATTGGATTTATTCTGCGGACGATTTAATTTTTATTGAGATGCTTCGACTCGCTTACGCAATATGGGGATAAATGAGATTTCTTCGACAATCAATGTAATATTGTCCCTTCTAGTAATTACGCCAAGTGTTCGTATGGAGTCCTTGGGCATTTTGGGAATTTTATACGTATTCTAGGGTTTGCGCTTTGAATACATACATCTCTTTTACGAGAATTGTAAACGAGGACTTTGCGCCGCTGCCTTTGGATCTCTACTCTTATGGTAAAAAAAAAAAAAAAAAAAAAAATCTGTATTATTTCGTTTATTTGATGCGTAGCTTGATAAATTTATCTAAATTGGAATTTTTTCGGTTATTATGTCGAAGGTTGATATGGCGGAGAAGGAAATTTTCGATTTGGATGTTAAGTTTGATAATGCTGAAGTTGTGGATCCCGATTTCGATCCTCCGGCGAAGGTGGTTAAATTGAAAAATTGATGTTAAATTGTATCTTTAAATAGTTTTTTTTCTATTTATTTATTTATTTATTTATTTTATTTTTTTTTGTCGTTGAAGAATGTTCGTCTTTGTTGTTGTAGATGGGAAACCCCTATATTGAAGTGACCGAAGAAAAAAAGGAAGCTGCGCAATTATTAAAATCGAAAGCGATGGATGCAGTTCTTGAAGGTAGCGCAATTCGGGAAATTTCTTGTGGTTAAAAGGTATTTATATCTCGTCTTCGGAAGTTTTTTTACTTATGCACCCTTCGTAATTGCAATGCCAGGTAAGCTTAATGAAGCTATAGATCGTCTAACAGAAGCGATCGTCTTGAATCCAAAATCAGCAATATTATTTGCAAGCAGAGGTAATTCTCAGCCATTATCGAATATTCGACAGATGAATTATTTATTATTTATTCGTGATGTTCGATTTTTATTTTTTTTAATTCTGGAAATGTATATCTTCAGCTACTGTCTTTGTTAAACTGAAAAAACCAAATGCTGCGAATCGAGATGCTGATGCTGCTTTAAAGGTACGATTTTGTTGCGTATATAGATATATGCGTGTGTGTGTGTGTGTGTGTGTGTGTGTGTGTGTGTATTCTGTTTGAAATTAAAAAAAAATGTAATTCGTACAATGGTGTGTTAGATCGATCCTCATTTAGCAAAAGCATATAAAGCACTCGGTATGTCAAGGGCGTTATTGGGATTATGGGAAATAGCAGCTAGTGATTTGCATGAGGCGTCGAAGTTAGATTTCGACGAGGAGACGAGTACGTTGCTTAAAAAGGTAAATTTACGTCGGATTTACGCGCCGTAATTACTGCCTAATCACGGCCTTAATTAATCGTTGTATTTCGTTGTTACTTAAAAAAAATTCAGGTTGAAGCAAATGCGAAGAAGATCGAAGAGCATTGGGAGAAACACGAACAGCTTTGCAAAGAACGAGAGATCAGAAAAGCTGAGATCGAACGCCAGAGGCTAGCACAGGTATTATACTAATTAAAAATTAATTTTTTTTTTCGAGAAGTGAAAACAGGATGCAATGTGTTTGAGCTGTAAGTTAATTTATTTTCGTATATCATTGCAGGAAGCTAAAGTTGCTAGTGATTTAAAAGACGGTACGTTTTCTGTTTATAGAATTACTATTTACGCTATAAAAGCGAAGAAATTTACCGGGCTGATTTGTTTCTTGCAGGGGAAGTAATTGTTATCAAATCCGTCGGCGAATTGAACGCCAAATTAAAAGCTGCTACAGAGTTATCTCGTCTTGCGATCATTTACTTCACCGCGAAATGGTGCGGCCCTTGTCGTTACATTTCTCCGAAATACGAAGCATTAGCTGCGAAATATCCGAAAGCGGTGTTCTTGAAAGTCGATATCGAGGAGGTAGAAGACTCAACTGATTTGTTGAATGTTCGCAGCATCCCGTGTTTCTACCTCTCGCAAAATGGAGTAATAGTTGGCCAAGGTCTTAACATTAGCTTACATTCACTCGAGCAGCAAATCGCCCACCATGCTCGATAAATGATTAATTTCTCGATATAAAAAACTACATACATCGATCTGCAGACTTATTTGACTTTTTGCGGTTTTCTACGCAAGATTTTTGCGTTTTTTTAAGTTTCGAATATAATAAATCTGGAATTGATTTTACAATAGTAGACGTTTTCTTGAAAAATTAACGATACAAATACTTTATAAAATTCGAACGAAACGGGGTTCATTTTCGTTCGTTCTTGGAGTAAAACCTAAGAACCAAATAGAAGAAGAGCCGATAAAGAACTCCCCACGCGAGGAGTATGCCTATATCGGCCCATATACTCTCGATCCTATGAATATCCATCGTGAACAAAATATCTTCTCCGATCAGCTGGCATTTCGGGTCGAGAGCAGCGCTCGACGTGTTATGCAGTCCGCTAATCCTTACTTCTCCAAGCGGGCCCGGCGAGAGATCGCTCGTCTCTCCGCGGTAGCACTTTGCGCCCTTGAACTCATTTATCAGCAGCGCCTCGAAAGGGTATTTGATAGCGGAGATGTAATGCAGCCATTTCCAGTAGCTCGGAATCTGCGAAGCTTTCAAGAAGAATCCGCACGTCAAGAAGAAGAGAGCCGTCGTGGCGATCACGACGGCGTAGCCTGTGATGTAACTCGGCACCATCGCTGACACGAGCATGACGTAAGCGTTTGTCGTGATTAGGGAAGCGTACAGGATCAGCCAGAAGTAGAGGACGCTGCTGTTGAGTCGGAGGATGTACTTTGTGATGGCGGCGAATGTGAACCCTTGGATCGCGAAGAAGGGGAGGTACACGATGAGGGAGGAGATCACGTACGAGGACGCGCGGTAGGCGTTGTGTGACGTCTCGCGGATGAATATGAACCGTTCTTGGATGAAGGTGGGGACTGCGTCGTTCGAGGAGAAGAAGACGAGGCAGACGGAGAATATGTAGAAGTTGAGTAGTCGGTTGATGGTTTTGAATTCGTCTCCGTGGAGATTCTTGAAGAGCGACGAGAGGATTAGCGCCATTACCGTAAGAACTATTTCTCGAGAGAGGAAAAGCTCGGGTGTTCGGATTACGTTGAGAGCGGTTCGCCACGAGAGGACCGCTACTTCTCTGAGCCATGGGTTGGCGAATTTGTGGCGGTGCTCCGGTTCGTCGAGTATTTCTTCTGTTTCTGCTGGTGCTACGTCGAATTCTTCGTAGGAAGGTGTGAAGACGGGGGTTTTCGAGCGGTGGTGTGACGTGGCGGAGTAATGGCTCGAGACGGCGGACGACATTGGCGTTACGCCGGGGGTTCGGGCCGGGGTCCACGTCGGAGGGCGGCGTGGGGTGCCGGTGACGCCGTGGTATATCCAAACGGAGAAGTCTTTGTAGAAATGTGAAGCTAATCTCGGGTTGTAGACCCCACTGCTAGGGTTCATCGGCGTTTGAGCCGCCGCCTTGCTTTTCCGTTCCAACGAAGCGTCGAATTCGTCTTCGTCGTCGTCGTCGTCGTTTTCGAATTTTGCGGAGTGATTTGCTCGAGGGGTCATGTTACTGTTGGAGAATAGGCTGATGTGGCGGCTCGACCAGGGGGTCCTGCCAGCTGGTGTCGCCGGCATTGGAGTCTTGAGCCGTTTGGGTGTTTTACGAGCCGGTGTTTGAGCGGCTCGGTCCGGCTTGATTGCGTCGCGCTGGTACAGGATAAGAGGGTCGAGACCGACGGTTGACTCGTCGTACTCTTTGATAACGTCGAGTAGGTACTCGAGGCTGTTTTCGCCATCTGGCACCGGCCGTTGGAATCCGGAAAGGTATGCAGGGAGTGATACTGGACTTCCCAGGTATATCAGTCTACCCCTGTTAGTAAATATAAAAAAAATAAAAATAAAATTATTATTTGCATAAATCAAGAGAATTTATAATAATAATAATAATTGTAATTATTTTTTTTTGGATTAATTTACCTTGCAAGGACAGTGATTCTGTCTAGAAGCATTTGGATTCTGAAAGAAGGCTGGTGGATTGTCATTAATACTATGCTACCACTTTTAGCAATGTCTTTCACTTTTTCGACTACGCTGTAAGCGCTCGTGGAATCGAGACCTGAGGTTGGCTCGTCGAGAAATAAGAGCGATGGTTTGTGTATTATGTCTATTCCGATTGATACCCTTCGTTTTTCACCCCCCGACACCCCCCTTTTCCCTTCGTTTCCGATATACGTATGCGTTGCACTCTGCCAAAAAAAAATTGTACGAAAAAAAGTTCAAAACGAGAACTTAGAGAGAGAACAATAGGGGTGAAAATTGGAAAGGAAATTCCCGATTCTGCCGATTATGATCCGGAAATTTTTGATTATGGATTTCAAACCAAAAATTCACACTTTTTTTTTTCTCCCGAAAATTACTATTGAAATATCGATATCATTATGTATTATCTATAATAGGTGACCGGAAAATTGGAATTTTTGAATCCTGTCCATTCTGATCGAAAATTTTCGATTTTGGCACATTTTTTTTCTTTCCAATTTCCAAATATCTAATTTCCGCCTTTTCCGAATTATTTTCGAAAGGTATTGGAATTAGTTTTCCACTTCCGATTTTTCTTTTTGGGAAATTCGTTGCAATACATATCGATCGAGAAATAGATATAGATATAGATATACATACAGTCAAACCGAGTTGATCAAGAAGTTCGACAACTCGTCTCTTCTTTTCGACAGTGGAGATCGACGGAGGAAGCCTCACTTCCGCAGCAAACATGAACGTCTCGTAAACGGTCAGCATCGGAAACAGCTGATCGTCTTGCATCACGTAAGACGATATCATCTTCATATAACTCGTCGTTACCTATCAACAAAAAAAAAAAAAATCATCACCATCCTCAAAAAAAAAAAAAAAAAAATCAAGAAACGCAACGAAAAACTAAATAATTACTTGTTTGCCATCGATTCGGACAGAGCCTTGAAGACTACCCTGCGCAATCCGGCCAGCCAAGGCATCGAGAAAGGTTGACTTTCCGGCACCACTCGGCCCCATAATAGCCATGACTTCACCTCTCATCGCCTGCCCCGAAATATCGTTTAGTAGATAAGTTTCCTTAGTGATCCAAACACCTTCTTTCTTCTGTTTCTTGAGCACACTATAAGATAAGTTCTTGAATTCGAGTCCGTGGCCCGGAATCAGCTTTCGCGTCGGCTGCAGCTTCGCGAAGTTTTTATTGCCGAGGGCGGTTTTGTCCAAGTCCAATAACGTCTCGAGGCTCCTATTCGTGTTCGAACGATTATATCTCGCCATTTTTTCTTCTTTCGACTTGGAAAAAAAATAAAAAAAATTACAAGTTTTTAAATTCTCCTTTGTTGGAGGAGAAATAGGGAGCAATAGTAGTGTGGTATAAAAAGAAATGAAAAAACAGACAGATAATTAAATACATTGGAGTAACCGAAGGGGGGGTGTGTTCTTTGATGTTGCAGGAAATATATTCTTGGAATTGTTTGATTATGGAGTTTAAGACAAGTTTTAATTTTAATTTGTCTTGTTTAGGATTGTGTTTTAGTGAGTTTTTCTTGTTATACTCTCAACTGTCAACAGCCAGCATTGCTCTCATGCAAATTTAATTATTAAAAGGGTAAATTGCACGTCGGCCCCTATAAATATCAATATTTTTGCACTTTAACCCCTAAAAAAAAAAAAAAAAAAGTGAATACCCCTTGAAAATGTTATTCTTGTTGCACATTGCATCGGATAGCAAAATTTCAATGGAGTATTCACCGGAATTGAGTGATTTCGTTGCACGTTGCCACTTCAAATATTATTTTTGTTGCACGTTGCTCCTTAAAAAAAGTATTTTAAACAATGTAATATTATCCCTTGAAAATGTAATATTTGGTGCACGATACCACTGAAATTTGGCTTCAGGGCAAAGTGCAACCAAAACAATTTCGAAGGGGGTTGCCGCTTTTTTAATATTTAGGGGGGAAGTGCAAAATGGTAAATTTATCGGGGCCTCCCTCAACTATGAATCTTAATACTCAAAATGGTAAAATACCCACTCATGTTTGGCAATTACAATCGTCTCCCTCAACTATAAATTTTAATACACGATCACCCTTATGGTTTCAAATTTAACAGAATCTTCTAGATTTCGTGGAATGTTCTCTATTTGTACTCGTTTGTGCAAAAAATCATCAAAATCTTATGATTTACGAGACATGAGACGCATCTTGCGATTATCTTGTTTCAAAATCTAGATCTTAAACGGGATAAGACTGGAAGAATTTTGCGCATAATCAAGAAGATACCATTAAGTCGATTATACCCCTAAATGTTTTCCTTCCACAAGTTCATCCAAGCAACAACATAGATAATTCTCTTACAACATAAAAGAAAAAAAAAAAAAAAAGAAAAAAATCATGGTTGGTTTTTGTTCGTTGTGGAGATCAATTTGAGGATAACTGTGGGACATAATCAAATCAAAATCAGCAGAAAATAATAAAGAAAAATAAACAGAGGGGCGGGGAGAAAGAAAAGAGTTTTGCAGAAACTGTAATGGCAGCAAACGCCATCTCACCACCGCCACCACTCACAACTTCATCTTCTTCTTCGTCATCGAGGAACCTCTTCTTCGCCAAAAGCAATGTTCTTTTCCCGCCACGACAATCAAGTTCGATTAGGGCAAGAATTTTGAAAAAAAGCGGCAAGGGATTTGGGGCGGCGGTGGTGAAATGCATGTCATCCGCGGCTGCGCCGCCGTCACTTCTCCTTCCGAAGGCCCTCCTGTTCGACTGCGACGGTGTGTTGGTCGACACCGAGAAAGACGGTCACCGCATTTCTTTCAACGATACTTTTGCTGAAGTAATATTCTCTTTCGATTTCGTTATTTTTTTTTTTGGGGGGGAATATTTAATTAATATGAAATTGTTTAATTTAGGTTTGATTATTGATTGAAATTGGTCTGAAATTGTTTGATTGATTGTGCAGAAAGAGTTGGGAGTTACGTGGGATGTCGATTTGTACGGCGAATTGCTCAAAATCGGAGGAGGAAAAGAGAGGTAAAATTGCTTAAAATTCAGGACAAGTATATAATTACTGAAAAACCGGTATCGTTTTTGTTGTTGTTGATCGGAATCTAAAATTCAGGATGACAGCTTACTTTAATAATGTCGGGTGGCCAGAGAACGCGCCGAAGAGCGAAGACGAACGGAAGCAATTCATAGCATCGCTCCACAAGCGAAAAACGGAGTTGTTTATGGTACTTATCGAGAAAAAGTTGCTGCCTCTTCGACCTGGTGTTGCAAAGTAAGCTGCTGATTCGAACATTTAGTAATCGAACATTTAGTTCAATATATTCTCCAAATTTTCGGAACTGTATGAATTATTTTGAATTAGCAGAATTATAGTATATTTGTTAGTTACTGAATTTAAAAAAAAAAAATCGACAGGTTAGTTGATCAGGCGTTGGGAAGTGGAGTCAAAGTTGCCGTGTGCAGCACCTCAAACGAGAAGGCGGTATGCGTTATCAGGTTCTTCGGTTTTCAGTTGCATCTAATTAAAAAAAAAAAAAAAAAAAAATTCGGTTGGTTAAATTGAATCCAGTACGAATTATAAACTTTTGATCATTTTTTAACGAACATGCTTTTTTACATCGGAAAACCAAGTTACTGGACATGTACTCTTCTGAAGTTGGAACAAATGATTTTTGATCGGACAAATGATTTGCAGGTGTCGGCTGTAGTTTCTTTCTTGTTAGGACCCGAACGAGCAGAGAAGATACAGATATTCGCTGGAGATGTTGTTCCCCGTAAGAAGCCCGACCCAGTAAGCTTCGCATACTTGTACCTTGTAAAGGACGAAAAGTACCACTTTTTTGTTAAGCAGACCGTTTTGAATTCGAAGCTTTTTCTGAGGATATATAATATTCAACTTTTCTTCGCAGGCAATTTATCTTTTAGCTGCAGAAACACTAGGTGTCGAGCCTTCAAGGTAAAAAGAGCCTCTACGTATCGAAAAATTTAGCTTAATCGGCAGAAATGAGTTCCGATACGAAAAATTCAATTTATTTATTTAATTTTTTTTTTTTTCCCGTAGTTGTGTTGTTGTGGAAGACAGTGCAATTGGCCTAGCAGCTGCCAAATCGGCAGGAATGACATGCATCGTGACAAAAAGCGGGTGAGTTAAAAAATCTTCGAACGTAAATCTTGATATATATAAACACCACTTAAAATCAAGAAACTCACTCCGAAAAAAATTCAGCCTCATACATCAGATTTCCGTTTCGTTTCTTCAGTCTATAATAAATGTTACATCTAGTCTTTAGGTCTTAATTTTGAGGCATTATCGTTTTTTCGCCTACACTTTGGTAACTGTGAGAATTGTGGGAATTATTATATTTTTCAGGTACACAGGTGATGAGGATTTTGTAAATGCCGATGCGATTTTCGACTGCATCGGAGACCCACCGGAGGAACGGTTCGACTTGGCATTTTGTGGAACCCTTCTTCAGAAACAATATGTTAGTTAAAATACAATTTCATTCATTAAAAAAATTAAATAAATAAAATTAAAATCCAATTCTTATTGAGGCTTTCCTTCTTCATACATAAGTCAAGCTGTTAGCTTCTTCTTTTGCATATAGTGGCAGAAGGAGCTTTCACATATGAGAGAAGATACTATTTTTATTTTAAAGTAAATGCAGTAATTGTACATTTTTTTTTTTGTACATTTGTACTATTTGATTTTGGATACTTTATTAAAAAGGGTAAATTACAGCCACCCACGAAGTAAGGCCAAATTACGAAAAACTCCCCCGTGTTTGGATAATTACAACCACCCCTTCAAATAAGAATCTTCTTACGCGTTGGTGTCAAATTCAACATAATCTTCTAGATTTCATAGAATGTTCTCTAGTTTGTACTTGTTTTATATAAAAATGCAGCTTCTTATGCACACCAATCTGATATATACAACAAACCCAGAGATACATCTTATGATTATCTTGTTTCAAAATGTGGAGTAGGAATGTGGTAAAACGAGTACAAACTGGAGAATATTTCACTTAATTTAGAAGATTTCACTAAATAAATTTGACATCGTAAGGATAGATGTACAAGAAGATTCATAGTTAAGGTATATCCGCATAGTTATAATTACCAAATATGAGGGAGTTTTTTGTAATTTCACTTTATCTTAGGGGTGTTCATAGTTTACTATAGGAAAAACAGGTATGAATTATGGAAGAGGAATTAAATTTCCAGCCAATAAAAGAGAGATATGTCACATGCAACTCAACTAATGGTTGCAATAATTGCGTTGACAATTTAATGTTAGAATTTAGAAGTGGATTCATATTTTATTTATTTTATGTATATAATAAGAAAAAGGGTTTCCAAATGGGTTTATTAAGTAAGTTATTATAACCAATAAATATTAAATTAAATACTTCATATTGTGTGTGTAGGACGATGAGTTGGCATGAAAGGAACCGAATTCAATGATACTGATCATATATCATTTTATTGCCGACGTATTATGTAGTTCGGATACGTTTCGTATTCGACATTCGAGAACATCTGTTGGATAACTTATGAGTCATTTTGCAATTTCTGAACACGTAGAAACATGTTTGAATAATAGCTGATAATTATATTTACATGATTTAATAATTGGTTGCAAATTAATAGCTGATAACAAATATTTATTTCGAATATATTTGTATGGATATATGTAAAATTAAGTTATATATAAATAAAAATTTGTATATGTTTATATACCATATTTATAAATATATCCATATACTTTTAATATTTACACGTTTCCTCTAACTTTTCATACCCCCTTTTTGGGAGATGCCATTTTTTGGTGTTCGTTTACTGATTTCTCCTGTATCGCCGTTTTCCTGTTCGTGCTACGTAGTTGCCGACTTGCACTTAGATGATGTTTTAGTGTTTTACAATTTATAATTATGTACATATTTTAATTTTTAAAATCTCTTAAAATAATGGCAAAATCAGTATTAGAAAAATAATAATCAAAGCATTTGGAAATGTTGGCCTAATTTGTTTTGCATTATGTCTTGTTTCTCTTTGTCACTTTTTTTAAAGTATAAAGAAAAGAAGAATTGCAATAGACTCCTAATTAATTTCTTTAGTGGTCCCTTGAACAACTACATTATGCTGCATGGCCCCCTCAATTCATGAATACATTTATTAATTTAATTTAATTTTTATTTTTATTTATTCTCGTGACTTTTTCAAATACTTCCAAATTCTCTTGTAAATCATCTTACAGCTGTTCTTCATCAAAAGACCACAACTTTTGGCTAACAAACAACACCTCTTCTATTGGTTAAATATAATAAATATCTTTTTCAATCCAAGGGTAAATTAGTAATTTCAATCTTGACACTAGAAAAAGGAAAATAGATATAAAACTGTTCAAATGAATTTCTTCACCATTTGACACCCTTTAGGCTTTAATACAATAATCTCAACAAAAAAAAAAAAAAATTATTTAAAGAAAAAAAAAATGAAAGAATAATGAGTGTGAAATTACAAGAATACCCTTCTATGAATAAAAAAGAAAAGATTTTTTTTTTTGGTTTAATAATAATAAAAATAATAATTAAGTTTTAATTTTTCCTAAAAACAACTTCAGTATCCAAACCAAACCCATCAATACCTCTGAGTTCAACCAGCTCCGAGTTCTTGAACAGCTTCTCCAATGGCTTCACACTGTACAGATCATTCGCCGAGTACTTATCCGCCCGCCGCGATAGCAGCACGTGCAGCACGCATACTCCGCCGCTCTTCAGCGTCCGTTCGATCTCCCCAACGAATTTCCACGGGTACAGCGCGTGGTCGAACACGTTCGAGAATTCGAAATCGAATATTCCGTCTCCGAACGGCTGTTTGTGGAAGTCGCCCTTCACCACCAGCGGAGGGTACGGCACCAGATCGATCCCAACCGAATCGGATACCCCGACCCGTTTCAGTGCGGCCACCTCCTGCCCGACCCGGGCCCCGATGCAGAGCGATTTCGACCCGTTGGATAATAGCTCCCTCTGCTTCAGATTCGCGAAGAAATCGGAGAAAACCCTAACTTTCCGATCCCAATCGCGGGTGGTCCAGATTTCTCGGAGTTTAGGGTTGAGTGTCTTGTTGAGCTGGCGTTGGAGGTATTCTTCGTAGGAGGTGTATCCGGGTCGGATCTTCAGATCGGACGGCAGATTTTCCTCGGCGGCGTCGTCGGCGGCGGCGGCGGTGGTGGTTTTGGCCGGAATTTGATGTGGTGTTTGGAGAGAGAGGAAGGCTAAAACGGAGAGAGAGACGAAGAGGAAGAGGATGAAGGGTTTGAGGATTATGGGCAGTTTATGAAGATCCGTTTTCATAACTGCATGAGTTTGTGTGATTTCAGAGCTCTCTCTGTATTTTGTGCATGAAACAGAGAAAAATAAAATTCAACTGTGTGTTTTTATGTGTGTGTGTGAATGGGAATAAAACGGCAACTGCAAAATATAGTGTGTGTTTGTTGTGGGAGAGGCTTTTGTGTGAAGTGTATATATTAATTTAAAATTAAAAAAAAAAAAAAAAAGGTATTTTATAAAATTAAATCTCTATAAATTAATATAGTCGCTAAAATCTGTTAATTTAGTAAAATATTAAATTGTTGAATTAATAATTTAATTTGTTTACTATGAGTCGTGACCGAAAAAGAATACTGTTTAAGTGAAATTATGATATTAGATTGAATTAGAAATTGTGACAATAATTTGAAGAAGAATCAAGAAAAACAAAAGAATGAATGGGTTATCACTTTTTCAATAATGGGTCATGATAGTAATTGATTGCACATGGAAGTATTATTATATATAAATAATAGAGAAATAAAATATAATTATATAATATTTGTTTTGCCACCTCATTATTTTATTAATTTAATTTAATTTAATTTAATTATTTTTGTTTTTTGTGTTAGCAGTGTGGGGTCGGGATAGGAAGCTTCTCCATACGCGTTTTACATTTGTGGTCAACCAATCTTTAATTCCCTCTTTTGACTTTATAAAATTACTAGCATTTTATTTTCTAAATTTAATTGTTCACATTTTGCTACACTCGATTTTAGTAGTTAACAATCTTCTACTGGTTTAGTCTATCGTTTTGCTTCCAAAATAAAATTTATTAGTATATAATCTTACTAGTAGAATCTGATTACATGACCGAACAAGAGTTCATTCGTAATTTGCAATAACCAAACATCAAATAAATTTCACTTATTTAATTATCAGGACCTTGTGTAGTTTACGATTTTCTTATGATTTATAAGCTATTATACGACAGTGTATTTTGTTGAGTTCTTAACTAGGGGAGGTATATTTGCCATTGGGTGAAAAATTACATTTTCCCTCTAGTTTATGAGCCAATTTGCCCAATTGCAATAGGTAGAGTAAATAGAATGTCACTTTTGTGTGGCCATAAAACTTAAAAGGAGTTAGTTATAAATAAATATAAGTGTAGAAATAGAAATTTGGAATATGTATTGGAATTCATTCCCAGGTGTCTGTTACTTAGGATCTTGCCCTCCTCTAACACAACCTTAACTTCAAACTAACTTCATTCGAGAATCAAGAATCAAACTACTTGAATTAAATATTGAGTATTTTAATTTGATTTTCAACCATCGATTCTATATATAATATTTAGGGTAAAATTACGAAAAACCCCCACCAGCCAAATCCGTCAACGCGGCCTACAATCGTGCCTCAAATTCCTCGCCCCTGAGTAATTTACAATTATGTATGAAGATGATTTTGGTGAAGTTGTGGTTTATGTTAACTATCAAAACAAGCCTAAATTCCAGTCATATGCTGAAAATCGTTTATTGTACCTTCCGTTATAATTGTTGTACACTGAAAAATGAAGATTCACTGTACATTGCTTCAAAATGCTATCTTAATACAAAATTATATTTTTAGCTGCCTACCTATTTGCTACAATGCTCAGTTGTCAATCCTCAAACTTCAGTCTGAAATTCTTCGAAATTTCAATGCGTCAGGACATGAAGAAACATTCCTCTCGATCTGCCGTCGACTTGCAAAGGCGGGCTTCGTAAACTTAGGTCGGTCCCAATCATAAAACCCGAGCATTAAGTGTGGGTCCCACTCAAGACGATGCTCATAGCTTCAGATCTTGATCCATCCCGAACATGGAAGATTGCTCCTTCCCCTTATTATCAATGCAAAACAGACCCTCATCTTCGAGATCACTTCTTGAACTCAAAGTCAAACTTTGACCAGGAACCACAGTTCCCGTACGACAATCAGAACAGTATCAACAAAGTTTAAAAAGTAATTTACGCTAACTTCCTATTCGATTTACTCATGGTAGCCACTTTAAGTATATTCGATTTAGCAGCATCCAAAAACGGATCTGATTCAACCGCCTTGTTGAAGCAGAACTTGGCTTGTTCCAATTGACCCTCGGCCACAAACACGAGACCAAGATTGTTATACGCGGGGGCGTAACCTGGCTGAAGATCGAGAGCCTTACTGAACATTGCTTTTGCAGTTTCGTATTTTCTCAACTGCCGATAGAAATTACCAAGGTTGGTGAAAATAGCGTGTGCCTGTTCAACTGTAGCTAATGATAGGGCGTGCTTGTATACTTTCTCGGCTTGTGAAGACTCCTCTAAAAGCTGCAGTGAGATACCTAAACAAAAAAGGCGAATTAAAGAAAGGAACGAAAATGCGAATCTTTTTCTTCTTTTTTTTAATGGGGGGGGGGGGGGGGGGGGGGAAAAAATTTTTTTTTTCCCAAATTCCCCCCTGGGGGGACACCTTTTTTAAAAAGGGGAAATGGCGCCCTTGAAAAAGTCTGAAAATTTTTAAACCGCTGTGGACAAAAAAAAAGGGAAACCATTTTGGGGCCCTGTAAAACATCCTCGGGGGCTTCCCCCAATGGCCGAATAATGGGGGTGAAAATAAACCTCCAAAAGGGGGAAAATCCAAAACTCCAAGCCCCCTTTATGGGGAAGGGTACCAAAAAAAA